ATTTAAAATTTATATTAAAAAATAAAAAAAATCAAATTAAATTTATTAAAAATAAATAAAAGAGTATTAATTTATATCATCACATCCAAAAAGTAATTTTTGAGCCAGCAGGTCTACAAAGTACGATATGACAAGGAGAAACTAATCTTCCTGCATTTTCTGTTTAGATGGTTGCAAGGTTAATGGTTTTCGGAGTTGTATAAAGATGATATCTTAATGTCTCTATTTTTGTTCGTTCTTCCTTTTTTTTTTTCTTTTTTTTTTCTATAAAGATATCCAAGTGAATTGTCCAATGTGTTTGTTTTAGTTATAAATGCAAGAATAAAACAATGACATGCATAAATTTGAATATGTTTATTAATTTGAATTTAAGTGTTCAGGAAAAATGTTTTACCATTCCGGTTAGCTCAAAGTGGAAAACTTCATCCCCCATTTATTAAAATGACAAAGCCTATATATATATATAGGTGAGTAAGTGTTGCACCCTTCTGAACCGAGGATTGTAAAATGGTTCATGTTCACAGAGAAGCCAATGGCTGTGTAGATGGCAAGGCTTCAAAGTTCTACCCACCTACTAGAGATCTCTAGATTTTAAAGTCTTTGTTAATTTTTAATTATAAAGAAAATTAACATTCTACTACGAGGATTTTTTATAGGTGTTTGTAGGCTAAGGGTCTTCCCCGCCTATCTGTTAAGTATTTAATCCTTGAAAAAAAAAACCTATTTAGATTTTTGATAAATAACCACAACAAACAATGGTAGGTGTGTTTAAAATTAATGATCTAGAATTAATGAGTGTCATATGAATTAGGCTAAGCTTGAGTGGGTGAAAAGCAATAGTATTAGTGATGATGAGATTGATGTATATCAGAAGAAAACATGAAGCACGTAAGTAGAAAGCAGTTAAACAATCAAATCAATCTCATAAACATTTTTAGAATCATTGAGTAATCACAAACTTTGAAGCACATAATTAAGTAGGAAGGATTAAGGTCTAATCAGTGGTGCTGATGAATCCATTTTATTTAGATGTAATTAGCACTGACCCACCAAGATAATTCATGGATTTCTTTCTTGAGCAACATGTATTAGTGGTGGGTATTAGCACCAATCATCAAGCCATAATTTTCAAAGCAAAGCTGTAAACTTTCACTATCCCATGTAATCACCCTGCCGGAAAAAGCTTCTTTTACTCGACAGAAGAGAGATTAGATTCTAAATGGATGCACTATTTTATTTCAATTTCCCCCTAACTTTATTTCCTTTATGTTTTGGCCCCTTTCCTTTGTCACTAGTAATGATTAATTAGTTATCTCATTAGATTTCAAGATGGATTTAACCGAACTTTCTGCGCAAAAATTTCATTAATGCCTTCTTTTTGAACCAATAATGACTTAATTAATTATCTCCTTAGAACACTGCCCTTCCCTTTTGTGTTAGTTTCTTCTACATGGTTCTTTTTTTTTCTCAATAATGGGCCAAAAGGAAGATATGTAGGAGTGTGGCATTGGAGTCAACAGTGGTGGGTGCCGATACGCACAGTGCTTCAGTTAAGAGTGTATAATATAATATAGGGTCTTATTTTTGAGGCAAAAGCTTCCACTTATCCATTACTGTATGGTTGTCCACAGGGGTGGAGCCAAAATTTTTTTTTTAGGAGGGACGAGATAATTTTTTATATATTAATTTGTAAAATTTTTAAATTTTAAGAGGCGAAATAATTTTTCATATACTAATTTGTAAGAATTTTTAATTTTAAGGGGGGACGCTCGCACCCCCTCCCTCCGCCACTGGTTGTCCAATTTGGTTTTTTTAAGTGTACTTGAAAGAATTGGTCCAAAATGATCAAAATCATTTTCAAAGCCTAAAAGTTTGCCACTCAAGTTTTTTGTTGTGTTGTTGAAATTAGGAGAAGAAGAAAAGAAGAAAGCTTTCAATTATGCATGTAATTGGAGAGCAATGGAAATGGATATATAATCAAAGCTTATGGATCATCTAATTTGTCACTCTATATCATTAAAAAAAAATCACCCACCATTAATTTTGTGTGGCTTAATGGTTCATGTCTCAAGTTTAAAGCTTTACGACTCTTAAGTCTTGTTGTCCTAGTACAAGCACACGTGCTACACCATTCCTAGCAGCTGCTAATCTTTAGCAGCTGCCCCATTTCAAAAAAGAAGAAGCATAAGCATAACTCTTAACCCTTGAATAGGAATAATGCCCATATGTATTGTCTTCCATTGAAAATGATGTTGCATGGTGTGTGAAGTGCCTTTGGACATCCACTTAACCCAAAATCTAAATGAAAGAGACTTTCTCAGACACAGTATCATTCTTCTTGGGTTCCATGTGCTGCAGGATTAGTTTTTTCTATGGATGATCACATAAAAAGGTCCCACATATATGGAAAGATAGGACACTCTTCCTATATTCCCCAAACCCATTTCTATGAACAACTCAACAAGAAAAGTTCATATTGTATGGAGGAGAAGGTCAGGACAAACTTAGGTTTTCAAACTTTAGAAACTTAATTAATTTGTCCACAAGCCCAAACAAAACATATCTGAATGTAATTATTATGGGGTACCCCATATGTTTTAGTGATCTGCCACTATAATACTATACTTTGATTAGAAATCACAAATTAAAGCCATGAGAGAAGGCATATGTTCCCCCAAGTCAGCAGCATCAGGCAATTATTCTCTAAAAAAGGGAGGTTGGCACTATCGCCAAAATTTTCAGAATAATTAAGTATTCTTTGATCCCTTTGCTCAATGCCTATTCTTGTTTTAGATTTCGAAATAAAAAAATGAAATCAAAAGCTGGATAATATAGATTAATGGGGGCAATCATAAATAAGTTTTAGCATATATGGTAATAAAAAAAAGTGTTATACAATCTAAATTGTACAATTTAAATTATTAGTTAAAGGTAAGCTCTTCCATTTAATTATTCTTGTCTTGCAATTCATTGTAGTCTAGATTGCAAAACAGAAAATTCTTAATCCTATGTTAATAATATCATAACAATATGGTCAAATCTGTTAATAGCTTGAGATTGGTGAGATTTATTACAATTTTTCAATTACCCACAAATTTTCCAATTAATCATGGCAGGACAAATCTGTTTGAGCTTGTTGATTCCATTTTCCCTTCATGGGTCCTTGAAGTTTCTGTCCAGGAAAGCACCTGGACAAGTAACTTTGGTTCCTGTTGAATGTCATTCCAGAGTCACACTTTGACAGGTTAAAAACAAACAATGAAAAAGTACTAAATTCAAACTTACTTTCACTATTAGATTCAATTCAAAACGCTTACTGTCACCTATTGCCCAAAACATGGCAGTTTCATGCATTCAAAATGGCACATGGTTACATCAAAATCTAGCAAAAATGGGGGGAAAGACAACAAAGCATTCTTGTTCATTTGTACAGCACCATTGCTGCTCATCTTCTAGTGGAGAAAAGCTCGCAAAAGCAATGTCTTTAACCTGACATCAAACACATTGGGAGTCTCAACTTTTGTTGTGATTTGCAAGAAAACAATTACAGTGTCCTAGAGTTCAAACAATCCATGTATCTAGGAACTCCACATGACACACACATTTGACTAGCTTGCAGGGGGAGACTCCCTTAGGACATACATTATGGAGCTGGAAGCAAAAGGGAGAGAAATGATTAATGAACCCCACCCCCCACATTATAAGACCCTATTTTTGTTAGCTTCCTCTGCCAAACAGTTTTTTTAGGCAGAAAATCATGCAACTTTTCTGTGTTTGGTTGTGTTTAATTAGATATAGTTGATTATATCAAAAAGCATATTTGATTAGAAACAATCAATTATATATACTACGAAAAAGTATAATGCAATATGATTTATATTGGATTGTACTACACCAACAATTGAATAAAAATAAACTTTTTAATATTAAGTTTTCTGCCTCATCAAATAATCCCTATTTTATAGTTCATTATAATGTCAATTGTAAAATAGGGCTCCTATGTATTAAACTACACTACAAAATAACCAATTATATGCTTCCTTACTTTCACTATCAAAATAGGAATCGTTTCTAAAGTCTCAAAATCTTTTTTTTTTTGTTAAGCGATGAGGGTGTCTCTGGCACTTCCGAGCATTTCCTAGAAATATGTGTATACCAAGGACAGCCTAGAGTTACAGAGGCAGAAAAAACATAGATAATATCATAATATATTCCTTTCTAAGTGTACTTATTCATGTACCCCATTCCTTGAAAAATCTTATGTATACCACGCCTAATTTTAAAATATTATAATTATAATACTATATAATATTATAAACTTATAATATAATGTGTTGTTATATATTTAAATTTTTTATTTAAAGATTCACTTATTGCATTATATATATCTACTTATTTAATATAATATCATATTTCGTTTAATACTGTTTAAGATTGTAAGCATTATAATTGTAGTATTGCTGGCATCCAATTATTTGATTGAGATGTAAAGATGGTTAGGATAGGGATAGGATGGATGAAAGTGGTGGGGTTTTATTGGGGGCATTTAAGAGTGGAAACTGTTTCTAAACCCAAGGAAAGAAAATATCTTACACTGGCTGCAATGAGGCCTGCAGGTTAGCCTAACCATGTTTCCTACAATTAACAATCTGATTTCTGATACTAACAAAAACTTGATTAAATGTTAAAACTCTGAAACACTAAAGCAATTAGCTTTTGATGTACCAAAGAAAAAACTCATCTCCTATACTCATGACTCATGATGTTCTTGACTCATTCAAGAATCAAGATCTCTTCCATTTCAGAGGCATTTCTTACCATTTATGCACACTCCTGCAACGGATGACATAGGGAAAATTTTGTTGATACTAAAATATGAATATCTCTTTGAAGTTTGGATACTGATGGCAAGAAGAGGACATGGTAATATATACTTTTTCGCTTAGTCGGCAAGGTTTTCGGCTAATCCCACCTAACCAGAGATTTAGATTTTAGACCTATATACAGATGTTGGAAAAACTGCATTCCTCTGCCTCATCAATAATATATGAGCAGGTGTTGATGTGCTGTATGGCTTTAGTAATCACAATTTTCTTATTATGCCGGGTTTTAAGGATTAGGTAATAATCTTAGCCTAAGTCGTAAGATGATATTATTATCCACAATTTCAGTTAATTTGGGTCAAAAGAGCTAATGTTTTTTACCAAATGTACGCAAAACTACGTGGCAAGCCGTTATTGTTTCTGTAAGATTTTAAGAGTTCCATTTCAATTGGACCCAATCCAAAAATATGGAGAAGAAGAAAGGATGGTAAATGATTAGACCTGGTCAAATTGGATCCAATTCAAAAATCTGACCTAATTTATTAGTTATGGGTCAAGTTATGAGTTTTATGTGTTAATCTGAAATCCAAAATGATTCGAACTGAAATTACCAAACTTAAATAAGTTGGGCTACGGGTGGATCGGGTTATCTAAAATGACCCAAACTTTTTATTTATTTATTATATTATTTAAAAGTTAATTTTAAATTTCTAATTTTTTAATCCTAAAAGTAAAAAAAAAATAAAATAAAATACCCAAATCCTAACCTTATCTCAGTTTCACTTTCTTTTGACTTTTCCTCTTCTTCACTCTTGCTCTCCCCTTTTTCATCTCAAACTCTCTAATCCCTTTTTTTTTTT